GGGGAGGCGGCGTAATTGCAAGTAATCCTTGAATGCCAGGTAAATTTTCACAAGTCCCCTGAGGACCATTTATAGGTTTATTCCCGATACAGGGAACAGGTGGACGAATACTTGGAGATAAATCTTCAGAAGAATTGTGAAACTGTCGATAGCAATTTGTAGGATACTGGCATGTATTAATTTGTGGATATGGAAGCCTGTTGCTTGGAGTTTGCGCCATACTTAATGGATTATTCGTAGACATTGACATATTATGAGTTGATGAGGATGATGAAATTGGTGTAAATGTTGGCGATGACATAGCAGTTTTTTGTGTGGAAGATGAAGAGAATTGCGTAGTAGAAGTACTTTTTTGATTAGAATTAAAAGTTGAAGATCCACTCATCAATGAAGTAGAACCGGAACTAGTAAACGGCTTTGATTCAGGAAAAGATGCAGCTTGTGCAAGACTTCCTCCAAAAGATATAGGGGGAGGTGTTGAATTAGGCTTGACCCTTTTTGGATTCGGCGCGCTACCCGTACTAGTTTTCTTTAAAGGTTGTTTTACTGAAATAACTATCGATGAATCATCGCAAGTTTCTGTCAAAGTATCTCGAGGTGTTTTCGTATCACAATCAACGTCCGTTAGCCTGTCTTTAGATTCATCTGCTGTAGTCATTTTTTCATCTATGTCATCTAAGCATGTGTCCACAGGTAGAATTGGTTTCGATGGCGCTGACATAATATCGGTTGATTCGGATTCCTTTTTATAAATAATAGGCTTTTGAGTTGAACACTCTAACAATGGAAACGTTGGCATTGCAGGAATTTTCATATTTACATCATTAACTGTGAAATTTTCACTAGCATTCTGTCGATCATCATCTGAAGATTTAGGATTAGTCCATCGAACTACATCATCAACATTTTCTGATTTTTTATTTTTTTCCTTTTTTGCCATGCGTTGAGTAACCAACTGATAAAAAGAAATTATATGTAATTTCATACCATATTTTAGAAGAATAAGATCCAGTATGAAAGTTTAATTCTATAACAAATACCTTTTCTATTAATTTTTCAAGTTTTCTCCGCCTCAAGTGCACATCGTTTCCGTTATTAATACCATGACCCTGACAGGTTGCCAAAGCACCATTAATACGTTTCATTATAAGTGTCTTGACGTGATGTTTGGCGACAGCTAGAGATCTAAAATCCTGGTCTATAGATCTGTCAAACTATGATAGGTATAACTCTTATTAGCATTATGAATAATCACTTTGAAAGTGTCAATATGTGTTCTTACCTGAAGCACACTTTTTTTGAGAAAGTTCATAAGAAATGATTCATATTGAGAATCGACAAATATTCGCTGCCCGATCCTATTATCACAATCTAAAACCTGACCAGAATAGGTTTGTTTAATCTCGCGGAGAACTGTCTGTTGCAATTGACAGGTAAATGATATGTTTATGATCGCAACTTCTAGCACATGACCGATATGGCTCAATAAAAAGATTACATTACTATACCATCAAAGCGTGATTCAATTGTTGCATGACATTTGAACACATGTACATTTGTCGGTTGACGGTAAATATAACTTTGTTGGCTTTTGAATCCTCTTTTTCTTTACCCTTCAAAATTCTACCATTTTTTGACTTGACATTTTGAGATAAAGAAAAGTTATCATTATTATTAGCGCTAGTTTCTACAGTCCGAAAGACACATAATGCATTTATGGATCTTTCTGAAATTAATCCTCTTATATTAATTGGAGGACAAGATATCGTAGACATCGATACAATTATACCCGCACTATCGGGATACTAATAGGTAAAAAATATCAGCGATAATGAAGAAGTAAAAATTATTATTGTTATAATAGAATTGTAAATATTAACTAAGGTGCTT